ATATGTCAAATTTTATTTTTATATATTTCTTATTATCATCTCGTTTACAATGACTAAGACATACGCCTAAAGGTTTTTACTTCTTAGAATAAATAGCATAACAACTTATACAGAATATGATACTTTTAATTAAATGTTCGATGTTTTAGAACGGATATAGCATCGCATTTTTTCTGATATAAATATATAACAACACTGTATATACTGATTTTTGTTTCTCGAATGTATTAGAGGAATTAAATTGTAGATTTTTCTCAATGAACGATTGTAATTTTTGTATGATTTGACAAAACGGGTGGTGTCATGGCCAACTCATCTGACTAACATATCGCTTGTACGTAACAAATTACTTTTCTTCTGTCACGTATTATTTAGCTGCATTTATTCACAGAAAGAAAAACTAACATGTTTAAAAAAATAGGGGATAAAATTATTGCGTACTAAAAGGAAAGAGAGAAAAAAAAGGTGACAGACCTTGATTATGATTATAAAACCATAGTAAATCTTTTATAATCAATCTAAATATCAGTAGAAAATTATTCCAATAGATATTAACCAATATCACGTAATTCAATCAAAACAAGGGTTATCATTTTTGAATAATAACAATTAGTATGTCGCCATATTTTGAAGAAAAAAACAAGTAACAACAACAACAATCAAAATACGCAAGATTTTATCCAGGTTAACATAAACAGCCCAAAATCGTGCAGAACACAAACTAACAAACGATTATTATTATTATCTCAACATGGGGAAATACAAAACACGGCATGAATAATGAAGAAAATAATCCTAAAAGATGGGAACGAGAAAAACAGAAGAAGAAAGAAAAGATGAAAGATCAAACTACCGAAATAACTTGTCTTATTCGTCTTAATTTTGAGAAAAAACTTTAGTTGCATCTTACGAAAAGAAATAATCTATTTCTAACACATTAGGTGAGAAGCTATCGTCTTATTATAAGGTGTACTGAACAAGGATAATTACAAATATCATCCAGTTCCACTTTCAGACTACCTCATTCCTATATTTATTACAATAGGATTACCCAAAAGTTCTTCAATTTGTTTCTTTCACAAGACGCTAGGTTAAATTCTACTCCGCTAGTTCAGCACTTCAACAAGAAAAAAACCTACTTTCTAATTACCCCAGAAAAATAGCTAATATCATGAATTTAACAATCATTTATAATCGTTTATCGAAGTCATTAAAAAGATATGCTCTTTTTTCGATATAATTTCATTTTTTATCATATCAGACACAAAATTTCGTCCTATCTGCTCCGCTTTGCGATCTAGCTTTATATTGTAATTTGATCAACTATGTTGTCTTCTAAAGTGACTCAGACAAGTTTACCTTTTTCAACTAAATTCTATTCAATCATTGAAATATTGATAAAGAAATTCGGTCAGCCAAATACAATAGACAGAGTAATAGATAGATTTGTTTTTTCTACTAAATTGAAACGGATACATAAAAAAAATTCTATCAAATCAATTTTAATTTTTCCTGCCAAACAAATTAACACGATTTAATATGAAGTATGTTGCAGAAATTTTATTCATAGTAGGAAAAAAAATTCAAAGTGCCACTTGAAAAAAAAGTCTACTTACAATTTTTATCTGCAATCGTCATTTGGTTGTAATAACCCTTTTTTTGTTTACAAGTAGTAGGACAATAACTGGACATTATCTCACTCTCGAAATAGATCGCATGGACAAATGCTTGTAGTAGATAATACAACAAAAGTTCATTTTACGTAATAGGGTTGAATCAGAAGAAACATGCAAACAGTATTTTTGATCATGCATTTCGACTATGGGCTGGTCAAGGAATGCTTCTTTTTTTTTCTTTTCTTTTACTTTGCAGAAAACAAACAGCTCTGTTATATGTATATGTGTGTATATCACATTTTTTATGTAATCATTTTTCCTTCTATATCAGTCGTAACAGCAGCGACAGAGTACTAGTAGCAGAAGAAAAGAGAACATGAAAATAACTTATTAATGGCATTGTTAAACGAAAAAAACCTTTTTGATTCTTTATTCGTTTATTTCGTTTGCTTTTTCAAAGCCTAATAATCACTGAAAAGCAGAAAAAACATTTTAAATTACTAGATACGTTGTTTAAACATGCATAATTGAAACATTAAGTCATTGACAACTAGCAGTTATACATAGTTGTGTAAAAAAAATAAAATGATCAAACAAAAAACAAAACGAAAAAGAAATATTCGCCAATAATACAATATAACTGTTCATTGGAAGTGTATTCAGGTTGATTTTCTTCGGTCAAAGAAACAAATGAAAATGAGCGGTCATGTTTGACTTTCAAACATCTGCTGAAATGTGAGTTTCAAATTTATTAGTCCCATACAAACATCTGTAACCAATCCCATCACCTATTTAAAAAAAAAAACACTATATTAAACCACTATTTTAAAGTTTCTATCTAGCCTAGAAGAAACCACTAAAAGACAAGATTCATATCGAATATAAGCACAGTTTTACAAAAAAATAACAACATTTGGGATAACTATTTGATCGGAAAAATGAAATGTACTACCTAACTATGGTTTGTTAACCATTGATCAGTTAGCATTCGTCTTTTTTCAAAATACAGCCAACATAGCTAATAGACAGATGGGAAAAAACTACATATTTCTCATAGATCTGAACTATAGAAAAACGACAAATACGTTATATTGAGTTTGTTCTTCATAGTATAAATTTGACAAAAAACACGCAACTTTCCCACGCAGACAAGAAAGTCCTTCAAGGGGTGCGGCGAGTACCCAAAAATGGGCCCTTAAAAAGTGAGACTTTGGACCCTCGATATAATCGTTCGAGAGGTTATCGGTTTCGAGCTCTTGGATTTCAAATAGGAAGCGAGCCTTCGAGAAAAATTCCGAGCCATCGAACAGAGATGCTTGGGACTTCCGAGCCCCCGTCGCATCCTCGGGCGATGAGGAAGTCTTTTGGTCTTCTTGTATCCCGAATATCTGTGTTCGACGGCTCAGAACTTTTCCCGATGGCTCGCTACCTATCTGAAACCCGAGCCCTCGAAATCGGTAACCTCTCGAACGCTTATACCGAGGATCCGAAATCTCATATTTTTTTAAGGGTTCGAGCCCTCGGCGAGGCCCATGGAAAGCATATTTTGGAGTACTCGAAACACCCCTCGAACAAGTGGGTGGGTTATCAATCTTCTTTTTTTTTCGACTTTAATGTTCGATAATTAATTTTGTCATCCATAAACAGTGATAAATCTGTGAAAATTTTTTAATACATACAGTATTACAGCTATTGTACCTAAACTGAATGGTGAATAACTCATTGATTGTATTTACTTCTTCTTGCAAAACAGCTTATGAGGTTCCGGTATCATAAACAAATCATCATTGAACTATCATTGATACTTTTGGTGGTGAACTGTTTTGAAATTGCCGTTTCATGCCAGTTTTAATCAGAAAACACAAACTTGCAGAAATAGTAAGATAAATTTATGAATCTAATTATTTAGTAAGAAATTGCATAGCTTTGTAAAATCTGACAGTTTCTGCAGGATCAATTATTAACGCTTTTTTTCTTTCCGTAGTGACTGTACTTGAGAGCGGGTACTTATTTACTTATGAATATTTGCGAGTACCTGGCAAGCACTTTATAACTGTTTGTCTAAAATGACACTTTGTAAAAATATAGGAAAGTAAATGAGTACTTCGGCAAATTTATTTACTAGAATTTTATAATTGCCTATATCATTTCTTTCCTCATCATACAAAACGATACTCTTATGCTATAATCATTCCATCTCTCTCTTTTGAAAAGAGTTAAAAGAACTTTTGTTCCAACTACTCTAGAAACATAACGGTTACTACTTACTCTATATTCAAATTGTCTCAACAATATTTAGTCCTTGATATTTCACTGTGATATAACTGACAACCATTTTTATCCTTCTCTTGAATATTTTTATAATGCTAGTCTTTTATTTTTCTTCTTCGATAAAAAACACAAATAAAAAATAAACAACATACATACAGGGTTCAGCAAACAACAACAATTTAACATCAGTAGAAACAATACAAATTTCGTGTTTCATCTCTCTTAATGTTTTCACAATATTACTATTTGTTTTAATATCTACTTTCTTTGCGCAAACTAAACAACAACCACAGTGGCAAAATGACAATAAAACAAATGTATTATCGAGTGTATCATCATCAAGAAAAAAACGAGAGATAATCAAAAAGCAAAAACAGTTCATATTATATGCAGAAAAATTGTTTTTCGACTGATAAAAGTGTAAAAACATTTTCTGTTCATCATTATCATGGAAAAAAAGTGTTGTTTGTTTATTTCTAATACCAACAGTAATGTGTAAGATTACACGAGATCATTTTTTATACAATCGTCCTCTTTGTTGAACAGACAGGAGAATATGGCAAGATAATGAAAGTAAATTCGAAAAAGTCTTAGACAAAAAATCGAAAAAAAACAACAGAACATGGAATTTGTGACGATGAAAGAGAAGAACAAATAATTAGTTTGCCCAGCACCAAATATTGACTTATACAATAACAAAGTTTTAACTGTTTTTTTTTGTGTAGCGTTGAAACGAATAGAAAGCAAAACAGTTGTGTTACTAATAAATAAATGTATATAGTCTAATGTAAAAGTGATAATTGAATAATTATAAGCAGGTGTTCAATTGACTAACACCAAACAAAAACATTGTCCATTATGAAACATCTAAATAGAAAACAGGCAAGTGTTTATTACGTTAAGACAAACTCAAATTTAAAGTTTTAACTCAAGAGTTATTTTCTGCTAACAACTTGTTTAATCTTGATACCTTTTAGTTTAATATCAAATATTATCAAATTGTACTGTTATTATAAAGTGGATTTAAAGAAATAAATACCGTTTCCAGAGACTTACAGTTATGTTCTACTTCTAGGTACAATGATGGAGGAAACTGATATGAACAGTCTTAAATTACTTACAAGAAAATTGCAGGTCTGAAAATCTTCTCGTCAATTGATCTTGAGTAAATCGAACAAAACTTTCATATTGTTCTATAAAAAGAAATAAAGAAATAAAAATCTTTTAAAATTGTATACATCTAAATTCAACACATACGATTTAATTTCATAGCCAATATTCGATCATATTCTTCTCTTATTTTTTCTTCATGTTCTTTTAATAATCTTGCACATATTTCGTTAACTTGCTTCAATGATAATAAGGGTTGAGTTTGTGTACGATCACGTTGTTGTTTAAAACTATCATTCACCGATGTATTCGTCATTGATGTCACTGAATCACCAGTATTCTCTTCTTCAGATAAATCTGTTGATGGACTTGATGGTTGTTGTGTTGTTACATGTGTTTGTAACTGATGTCGACGGTGAAGACGTTTTATTTCATCTTTGATACGTTCTAATAGTGCATCTAAACAAAGTGACAGAAAAGTGTATAAAATCTAACTTGTAAAATACAAACAACAATCTACCTGACGATATAACTGGTTCTACATCAGGAAATGATGACTGATTAGTAATATCCGAATACATATTCGAATCAAAATTAACATTGCAACCGTTCGAATCGGGTGACTGTATTATTGTCATCGGAACACATCGTCGTCGTTTTGAAACAGGAGATGGTGTTCTTGCTGTTGGATGATCAACATGTTCGAGTGGTCGTTTCAACGTTAAACATGACGCCATTTGAAACAAATATTCAATAGAATACAAATGCACAATGGTCACAAATTTTAAATAGATAGATGACACGAACTATCTGAAATGAAAGCAATTTCTATTATGCAGGAAGACCACACTAGCAAACAAACGAAAACATATCTTAAATCTGCACGCAACGATAGACAAAAACTAGCGAAAAATCAACAGTAAACCAAAGGGCGTCATTTCAAATCTCGAAAGAAAGACACAACAAATAGTAAACAAAGAGAAAAGTAGAACGCCACGCTGAAGGATAAGAAAGAAAAATAATTGTGTGGTTTCTTTGCCATTGATCTGATTTTCACACTCAATTCCGAAGTCCTCCATGACACATACAACATAATATCTTCTTAAGGTCAGAAATAGAGAACGGTAGTTGTGTTAACAAAATTGAGGGGGAGCAGCAGCAATAAGTCAGGATGCGCTCGCTACAGCTGCATCACAGTTTCTAATAATTGACTTAAAATGCGTTTGATTGCTACCCTGTTTTAGAAGGAAAACCGTAAAGAATGAGGTCAACCTTGAATTTTAACGTCGCTTAAAATTCTGACCAGATGTTGGATACTTTTCAAAAGTTTTATGTACTCCCGCCTTCAAAACTCAGACTATCCAGACTGAGCTCAAAATTAATATAACTTTTTAGTTACAGCTAGTGGCGGATCTGGAAAAATTCTCCGATGGGTACGGAGCATTAAAAACACAATCAAAAACTGTTTTTTGCTTGTGAGAAAGCAAAATTTTCTGCTCCCGAGGCGTACGGTCTCACTCATCGTAAATCTGCAATTGTTATAGGGTACTTTATAAATCACTATTTTGTTGTTTCTGATGAGAATCTGAAATAAAGCTACAAAAACATATATCACTGGTAACAAAGAAGAAAAAGAAAATATTATAGTTGATTATTTTGTTTTGATAAAATCAATTTTAAATACAGAAAAGAAAAATTCACACACTACTGATGATGGATTGGAGAAAGCTGTCAGTGTTTTCAATCACTGTCTCTATTGGTAGTCTGTGTGGGAGCAAAGAGATCCTCTATTTTAAGTAAGTAACACGATTTTCACGGTCAAAATAAGCCAGAATAAAAATGATGCCAACGCATCATCGTTGGTACGCAGAAAGCTCTCGTTCTGGCTTAGCTTGTCCGATTTCCAATCTGCAAATGGAGAAATTGATTTTAATTTTTTACTGATTTGCATTAATATCTCCTTGATGATCTGTTGTATTGGCTTGGCTCGTCTTATAAATCATCACATAGTATTAATTTAACGTCCACTGCAAGAGTAAAAAATAAAGTCATCACGTTTTCTTGGTTCTACTCGTATCATCAGTATCTACGAGAACTGATTTGACTCAGATTAGCAAAGGTGAGATAGATAAACGTTTTAGAATGAGAGAGCGAGTAAGATAGGATAGAACATAAGGAAAGCAAAGCACAACACAACATTACACAGTTCTTGGAATCGAACACTAAAACTATGAATTTTAAAGCATCAATTTTACATTTAGACTAAATTATCCAAAAGTAAACTTGGTGTTAGACTAAGACTAAGATTGTTTATTCACGAAAAGTGAGAGTCATCAAAGGTCACCGACCTGTAGTAACAATGACTCAAGCCAAACAACACCAAAATAGTAATAAAAAAATAACAAAATAGAGAAGATAAGTAAGATTAGAACCAGAAGTAGTAAATAAAACACAAAAATTTTTAAAAATAAAACAAAAGACAAAAAAGAACAAGCATAAATGCTTAACTGACAAGCGTTTCACTGGAAGGGATACTGAAGTAAGGCTGTTTTGAAAGACATAAAAGAAAGACAAATAACTGACTCTGGAAGATTACTCCAATCAGTAATAGTCGAATAAAAAAATGAAGAATGCACCGTTTGTGGAGAAAAACCATCAACAGAAGGTGGAAGACGAACGTATTTAGAGTGATGAAGACGTAAAGATGAGTA